AAACAACAAAAAAAACCAAGGCCTTTTCTCCTCCCTGCCAGCCTCCTTTTAAGGACTTTCTTTTATTTTGATGGGAGAGTGAATTTTAAAAAAAGGTAATGGTGGCCTTTCAAAGGTCTTTGGTTTCCTGCTTTACTTTTCATCCTTTGGTGGTGGTGGTGGTTCAGAGGCCCATATTAGCATTCATTATAGAGGGCAGTACTTTGATTTTGGCAAGGGGACTTACTATTCCACATGGGAATCTTGTCCCCTGCCACTGGGTCCTGGGATGGTTTCAAGGTTCCAGCGCATCTTCTTATAGAGGTATCTGGGGAAGCGGCTAGCAGTGTAGGCAGCTGGGGCACAGTATCTGAAGATAGATACTTCATGGGAAGGGCTGATGGAGAACCTTCCACAGAAGAAACAGGAGATGCTGGCAGGAAATGGGACAGTGAAGGGATGAGGCTGGACCCTGGCTATGCCACAAACCCCCAATCCCAGTTTTTTGCCTTTTACCTTAGAGGGTCAGTTTCCTCCAAGTTCACAAACCCAAAGGAGGCATACATGAGCACCAGTTGTTCCAGGCGCAGGGTCAGCTGTTGGGAGATCTCTAACAGCTGCATAGAAGAGGAGGTATAATGAGATCAGCTGCCCTAGCTGGGAATAGGCCCCTTGCTCTCACCCCCCAGTCCTGGAGCTTTGAGAAGAGGCATGGGGTCCAGAAAACCTGCTCCACACGCACCCCCTTTCGGACCAGCTCCTGCAGGGCTCCATAGATAGGGGGAATGCTCCTTGCAGCTGCTTCCAAGTATAGAAAGTAGGGTTCGCACATCTGTAGGAAGGTTGGCATGGCTTTTGCCAGCTGCTCCTTTTGTACTCGGTCCCTGCTGAAGGGAGAAGGGGGCCTTTGCCTGGGATCCCTCTCCTTCCCCAGTTTCCCTCATTCTACTAACCTTTCACATGTGTCCCTGGCCTAGATCCCTGGTGCAAAATCTAGTCCCAGGCTTTTCTCTGAGTATCTGCATCAAAACCTTTTGGAACACTTGTTAAAAGGCTGACACCTGAGGGCTACAACTCACTTTGGACTCAAAACTCCAGGCAGGGTGAAGCCCAGAACTCTGGAGTTTAAAAGCCTCTCAGGGGATTCCAATAGACATTAAAATGTGAGCATTGCAATCTCTTTTTCTCCTGTTTGGGAATCACATTATCCTTTGGGGTCTCAAACTGGCAGACAGTGGCCAAATTTGACTCAGGTGAGTTTTGTTTAGCTCAGCACAAGGTTCAAAATTTAAGCCAACACTTAAAAACTGCGAGAAAAAGTCCTAGAGATTTGGCAACCCCCAGACACACTACCCCCCAATTCTGCAGTTCTCATTATTCTCTGAAAGTGGATTCCTAATCAGCTAGCTTCATTTACTGTCTTCCTCTAGCTCCTAATGCATTTATTTTTGCCACCATGGTGTGTGTCACCTATCCTGTCACCTTCTCCAAGTCTCCTTACCCACAGGAACTTAAGACCACATCCACCCTCACCTGTAGAGCAAGTAGCTTTGGAAATCATCTGCCTTCTTGAGCAGGTAGCGGAGCTGTTCGGTGATGGGGCTGAACATAGTGTCTAGGGGTAGGCGGGGAGGGGTTGGCCCAGGGGGGACAAGAGGCTCAGGGGAAGGTGTAGAGGTCGCTGAGGCCTCTGGCAGCTGGCCCTGGACGTCCTCAGGCTCTGGTTCCGGTGGGTCTCCAGTAATAACAGGGGCCGTCGACCACGAGGAGTTTCCACAAGGCTGCTTTCTGCGTTCCAAGTCCTCCGGGGGCGGCGTTTCTCCGGGGCCCAGAGGAAGAGGCCCCACGAACCACTGCTCCGTAGCCATCCTTGGGGCAGGGGCGGGACCTCAGCCTCTTTAAGCTTCTCGTACTCAGCCACGGGTAGCCATAGGCTAGATTCACCCAGCCCCAGGATCCTAGGATTTGGCTGGGCTGGGAGCGTCCCCCTCCAACTCTCCCGGGCCTCAACCTCTCCACCAGCGCCGTGGCGCTGGGTGAATTCGCCTCTTTTGAATATCAACAAGCAGGAGGGGCGCGCTGCTCTGGTCCTGCGCACTCACTGGCTGCGCACCCTCGTGCCCTGCGCACACGCGCGCTAAGGGAACCTGGCGGTGGGAAGGAGGGATGAGCTGAGTGAAAAGACCCAGGCTGGCGCTGGAGTGGTCACATCTCACGGGTGTGGCACCTTTATCTCACCAAGGTGATTTCCTAGAGAAGAGTAGTATCTCATGTGCGTCCAAATCTTTGGGGCGCAGGTAGACAAAGAAAGGATGCGTAGGTCCACCCCCAATGTTATGTTTTTGACTGTAATGGGGTCGAGAAACTAGGCAAGAACTTAGTAGGGATTTGTGATGTAGCTATAACTACTACTACTAAAAACTTCACTTGGAAAATTTTTCCTATCCCATGATTTCATTTGATGGCCCAATCCCTTCCGCTGTTATTATGGAGAGGAACATGAAGGCTGGAGACCCTACAATGGTCTCAGAACAGATCCCTGTCCACTACATTTGTATTAGATTCTTTGTAGCATGTACAGGCTAAGTTACATAGCTATGAAGCCAAACACATTTATTATATTTAAAAACTGAGTAAAGAACTCAAGACAGTGTCAAACACAGCCCTGTGTGGTGACCCTGAGCAAGCATCTTTGCTGGGCTGGGCCAGTTGCTTCATCTGTGAAGCGGGGTTTTAGTTCTTTGCCCCATAGGGCTGCAGGAAGAACCGAGGAAAAATGAAGCTCCTAATTTACTCAAGAGGCTGAGGAGGATCGCTTGAGGCCAGTAGTTTTGAAATTAGTCTGGGCAACATAGCAAGACCTTGTCTCTAAAAAAGAAAAGAAGAAAAAAAAAAAACAGCCCTGGCACTGGACCGTAGCACTAGCTACTTGAGAGGCTATATAGGATTGCTTGAGCCCAGGAGTTAGAAGCTACAGTGAACTTAGATCATGCTACTTCAATCTAGCCTCTATGACAGACCCTGTCTCTTTAAAGACAAAAAGCATGGGCCAGCACAGTGGCTCATGCCTGTAATCTTAGCACTCTGGGAGGCCAAAGCGAGAGGATCCCTTTGAGCTCAGGAGTTTGAGACCAGCCTGAGCAAGAGGGAGGTCCCATCTCTACTAAAAATAGAAAAATTAGCCAGGTGTTATGGCAGGTGCCTGTAGTTCCAGCTACTATTCAGGAGGCTGAGGCAGGATTGCTTGAACCTAAGAGTCTTACGTTGATGTGAGCTAGGCTGATGCCATGGAACTCTAGCCTGGGCAAAAGAGACTGTCTCAAGAAAGAAGAAAAAAAAAAATGGGTGGGCAGTGCCTGTGGCTCACAGGTGTAGGGGACCAGTCCCATATGCCAGAGGTGGTGGGTTCAAACCCAGCCACGGCCAAAAACTGCAAAATAACAAAAAACAAACAAAAAACCAAAAAACCCCAAACCATGGCGTGAACTGCTAGTTACTCAACACATATTAACATTTGAGCACCTACTCTGTGTACCTGGGTGTTTTATCCCCACCCTCCTGGAGTGGTTATTATTACTGCAGGCTATGAGGCAGCACCATGCACTTGGCTTTCTCTCTGCCCAAACAATTTTGTTCTAACCTTAGGGTCTCCTAGGAGGCTCTTCACTGTCCCTCCCCAACCCACTCATAAAATGGACTCTGTGGTAATTTTTTTTCCTTTTCCTTTTTTTAAAATTTTATTTAAAAAACCTTCGGTGCAATATTAAAAAGCAATATAGCCAGCTGGAGCAACAACCAACAGAAAGAAAGAAAGGGGAAAGAAAGCCCAGGTAACCCACCCCAGCCACTCTCTAGGGGCCCAAGGTAGCCTGGAAAAAGGGCATGGGCGGTGGTGGAGAAAAGGCCACCCACCAAAATAAACAGGCAAGAAAAAAACATTTATACAGGAAACAAATGGCTGAACTGAAGAGGATCTTGGAGGGGATGAGAAGCCCCTCTATTCCTTTTGTTTTTTCTTTTTCCAAAAATGTCCTGGGCTGGAGGAAGGATTGGCCTTCTAGGGGTGAAATGAACAGGCCACTGTCCCTCCACCGTACTGATGAGCGGGGAGTTGATGTGTGTAAAGAGAGACATGAAATGGAGAAATGAGTAAAGAGTGTCTCCTCCCTGGAATCTGTTATGAGGGCTGAGGGTGTCCCATCCAGCTCCTGGACTTTGGGGGGTCTTGGGTGAGAAGGTAGCTGGAATGGGCTGGGGTAGGGGTAAGGCTGGGCGTTCAGCCTAGAAAGCCATCAGGGTCATCATCTTCAAAGTGGCCTTGCTGAAGCACCTTGATGTGATGCTCGTAGATTTTCAAGGCTGGGCCCAGGCGGATGGACAGGCCGGTGAGCACATCTGTACGCTGCATTAGCAGCAGAGACTTGCCGTCAATTTCCTGGACAGGACAGGACAGGACAGGAGAACAAAGAGAAAGTAAGAACACCACCCCCCTCCCATGAGTGTGTGTATGCTATGGTATCTAGTCCTGTGCTAGAAACTCACCTGCTCTTGGAAAGCTGTTGCCTGCTCTGGGAAGCCTGCCTCGGTGAAATATTCCACTACGTCCATCACTGTCCACTCCACGGGGTCAGCTGGTTTCTCTTTGCGCCCAGAACTGTAGCAAAACAAGGCATCAGTGAATACTGACACCTCTCTAAGTATTACACAATTACACACACTTGGGCAGTGCCCCCATGTCTCAAACACCCCGACTTACGGACAGCCAAAAGGGGTCCCGTCAGCCCCAGGGAGAGCTGGTTTTCCTGGGGGTAAAGGCACAGGGGATGGGGAGTCTGGCCCAGTGGCAACAGAGGCTGGGAAAGAAAAAAACAGCTGCCTGTGGCTTTGTCTTAGGGTTTGATTCCTCCCTACCAGAAACTGCCCCCCTCAAGCCCCACCTAGAGAGATCCTTACCTGATCCCCCTTCCTTATTCATGGCTGCCATGGAAAACACCTGGCGGGTGCCACTGCCCGGTGCTGGTCCCCGGCCTTCATCCTGGCCCTGGTGGGGTCCACAGGGTGACCACTCCTTGACTCTCTCCTTGGCACTCTGAGGGCCCCGCTCACCATTAAGTTGATGGTGCTGGGCACCTGCAGGACGGTCACTATCGGGCACTTCTGAGCTCTCCGACACATCATCATCATCATCTTCTTCATCATCATCATCTTCTTCCTCTTCTTTCTCAAGCACTCGATCTTCTCCACCTCTCTGGGGATAGGGAGAGAAATAAGATTAGTAGCTGCTCTGATCCTGGCCTCAGAGACTAGGAGAGCTGAGTCGTATGCCCAACACGACCTTTAATAACAATACGGACTAACTTTCAGGCATCGTTCCATGCCAGGCTCTGTGTTAATACAGCCCTCAACCAAATCTCACTGAACTCGCTCAACAACCCCAAGGGGTCGCTACTGTCAGTAAATCGCATTTACGGCGGAGGAAACTGAGGCTCAGGGAGATTAAGTCACTTGCCAAGGTCACCAAGCACCGAGCTCGCGCGAAACCCGCGCAAAGCCTCAGCCACTTAGTTCCTCTGGGACTCGCGCCCCTGCCACGAACTTCGCCCGCACCTGCCCACCGCGCGGCGCCCCAGCGCGCTCACCTTGCTCCGCGACGGGCGGGCACTGGCGGTCGTCGGCGCCCGTCCGGGCCTGTCCCCGCGGGGCAGGGTAAGCGCTCCGAGGCGGGTGCGCTCGAGGCGGCCCCGTGCCGCTGCCTCCTCCTCCAGCAGCCCCTGTACGCGGCCGCGGGTCAGGC